ATATTTGAAATTAGATAAAGAAATGATGGAATATATTACATGTAGTTCTAATTATTGTATATATGTTAATGTTAAAGTTCTATTTTTTTAAATTGTATTTGTACAATAGTTTCTTTTTCTTGCCATGTGTATCAATTCTTTATTTATGAATTTTTACAAAAAAATATGCATAAATTAGTGAGCATACTTTTATTTGTAACAACATGTCCACTGATATTGCTTTGGGACTAGTATTTTCCTTTATTCTTTTCTCCCAATTATAATATCTTTAATCTGATTTTCTTCATGTTTTATTTCAATGATTAATGTTTATCTATCTGAGGAAAATAGTCTTTTACAGGTTTAATACATTTATATCTATCAACTAGATGTACAGAAGCCAGTTTTGCACAATTAATTCGCGTTGCCTGTCTTGTGAAATTTTCTGTAATCCTTTTCATTGTTTCATAAGAGACAATAAGACGAACAGTATTCGGCAGAAACACTTCCGTATGAAGTAGAAATTGTTCCACATAATCATCACGAGCTTAAAGAAGAGTGAGTCGAGTAAGATGAGGATACCTAATGATTGATAAGTCTTGATTATCGTTCTCCGATTTTCTATATAATTTATTCTTCTGTGGTTTTTCATTAGTAACAGTTAATTCCTTCATAAATGGAAATGATTGAGCAATTTGAAGAAAAAATTCATATTCAAATGGACGTTCATCAAATAGTGATACTGTATGAACATTTTTAAATAATCCACCTGGAAAATTATTTGAAATATGATCACAATAATTCATTCGATCTGGATATGAATCAGAGATGTCCATCGCGGCTGAAAATCTGCCGCTGCCGCGCCGCGGCCTTAGAAAAAAAAAGCTGCCGCACCGCTGCCGCGCCGCGACGGTTTATAAAAAAATGTTGCCGCGACGCTGCCGCACCGCGATGACTTATAAAAGAAACGCTGCCGCGATGAATTATAAAATAAACGTGCCGCCACCGCGCCGCTGCCGCGACGATTTTCAAAAAAGTGTTTCTAATTTCACGGCTGTGACTATATTTGACCAGAGATATGGGTACTAGTCCATCAGATTTATTCAATATCAGGACATTTCATTTGTAAATCGTGAAATTCTATTAAATTCATACAGTTTTTCAATGTCCTCCAAAAAAATCCTGCCGCTGCCGCGCCGCTGCCGCGATGGCTTTTTAAAAAACCTGCCGCTACCGCGCCGCTGCCGCGATGACTTTTAAAAAAATCTGCCGCTACCGCGGTGATTTTTTTTAAAAACCTGCCGCTGCCGCGCCGCCACCGCCACCGCGGCAGCGGCGCGGCTGCGGCAGCGCCGCGATGGACATCTCTGATATGAATAAATATGACAATAACTACATTGTTTTTCTTGAAAATAATCAACACAAGAAATAATTTGAGTATCTTTAAAATCTTTGAATGTATATTGAATATTTTCATTTGAAGGTATATTAATTTGATTAGGAAGACGATTGAATAAACGAATATTAAATGTAAATTTATTTAATCTTGGCATATGATTGATAATATCTTCTTTGAAATCGTTTCCATTAATGAATCCTTTATTACGATACACCAAAAGTTGTAAATCAAGTTTTTCTAAATTCAACATCCGATGTAGAAGTGGTACAATTAATTCATCATAATCGTGTACATCCATATCAGAATATAACGAAAAACATCTTAGATTAGGTAATTTATCCTAGAAAAGATAAAGAAAAATCAATTTATTGGATACTATTTAGAAATAATTAACCCCTCTATGAATTGTTGAACTGGTGCAATCAATGATCATAATATTAACATGAAATGTATGAAGTTGATTAAAACGTTCATGAAGTAAATAAATCAAATCAGTGAAATTAGTTACACGAATATGCAATTCTAACAAATTAGAAGATATAACACTTGAAGATGGCATGTCAAATAAAAATTGTTGATGCCACATTGAAGATGGATCGAAAGTTAAATATTGTAAATTGGTGAACATAGTAAAGATTTGTGTAAATATAATTTTATTGACATTTTTTGTTAAATTTAAAATGTGTTTTTCATCTTTACTAATATCGATAACAAGTGATGATATTTGTCTTTTGTTTAAACGAGTAAACACAATGTCTTCTAAACAAAGATAAGTTTTGAACAAACAAACTATTTTCAATATTGATCAAATCATATTATTGATTTTTTTTTTCAATTTATTTCAAACTAATAATATAACATACAAATTCATACTTGAATTCCTGAATGATTTACTCAACTCATTAATAAATATAATAAAACGAATTCTATTGAAGTTTTATCTATTGCTTATTTATTCACAATTAAAATAACTTACCATTAAAAAGAGATAGAGCTTTTTCTACATCAATACCATATAAACTAAGCCCATGTAGGTTAGGATAATTTGTAGCAAGAAGAATATGTTCCATAGATGTTAATTCAAGATTGAGCCATTTGATTTTATGATGAATTTCAGGTAAAATTTGTAAACAAAATCGATCAAGCATGGGATCAGGTAATGGAGAGATACAGTCATCCTAGGAATATAATGTTAAATGATTTGTAAAGATTGAATCATGTGCAATTGTATTGAGTCGTTTATTAACACCAATTAAAGAATCAAGTACTTCGACATTGTGAAAATTTTTCAGAATAATTAGAAGAATTTCGTCAGGTAAATCATTCAATTGAATAAAGGAATATTTCATGTTCATCTACACCTATATCTATTCTATTTAATTTCTAAATATAGACATACTTATATCTTGTTTGATCAATATCGTAAATAAAAACAATGATACATTGTTGTATAATTTAAATTGACGATGAATGATTGGATAATTGATTAAATAATATTTTTCTTTCTTTCCTTTTTTTTTGTTTTTTTGATAACTGATGTTGTTTACATTTTTCTTTTTGTTTTTTCGTATTCACTTTTGCATTCTGTATGCAAAAGATGTTGTTCTTCAACAACGAATTCTTTTACTCGAATTAGATTTTCATCAGAATAAAATAAACCTCAGTGGTTTTCTTGAAAAACTTTCTCTCTTTGCCTCGGCGAAGTCATATTCCCTTGTTATTCTTCATGCGATTTCTTCATTTCATTAATTTATGATTTTAGATTTTTAAAATAAAATTTCAACCTTATTAGTATAGTATTTTATAATTATAATTATATCTTTCATAGGCTGCTAGCTGTCTACAATATTTTTTGTTGAGTGATATTTGACTTTCTTGAAACTTTTTCCTTTGATAACTGGTTTCTTTTTCTTTGAGATTTGGATACAATACCATGAAATTTAATATTTGCTTATATGAATTTTTTATTTATTGAATTCGATTAAATTATCTGTAAAATGATTAGATAGAAGTAAAAGTGAAATGAAGTTTTTATTGAGAATAAAGATACACACCTACTATTATCTCTCATCTTCTGATAGAAATACGTGAAAAAAAACTATTTTGCATCTTAATAAAACTAATTAATATCTCATTTTATGAGTTTCAATAGTTTTTAAAATGAATTTTAAATTAAAAATGAAACTTCAATATCAGTATTCAAGAACAAAAAACAAAAACAATAGGAACAGTCCAACGATGAAAAAATTTGACATAATTTCTATAGAGAAACTAACAACATTGCATATAGAAACTAAACTCCATTTAAGCAAGTGTAGTATATTCAATATGAAGTTTTATTTATAAGCATTACAAGCAAGTTTTACATGAAGAAAACAACTTTGTTCCATGAGAAGAATTGCCATTACATCAAGTCAAATTTTTCATTTAATGAATACTTTACTGAATACACATTTATATTTAATTACATGTATATACCTATTTTATTTTCATTAGTACAGAACCCAGTGAATCGAGTTTCGATGAACGTTACTTCTTGAAAGTGCGATAATTACTAGCTTTCTGAAACTGATAAATATGACACAGTAGAATGGATACGTTGTGTGAAGTAAATTACAAAATGCAGAATGAACATGAAGGTGAGAAGTAAAGTGTTAGAATAAAGATAATGTGTCAATATATGAATAGAATGTGAGAATAGAATGTTGTTCATTATGCATTTTGCGTTTCTAGTAGTAGTTCTAGGGTATAGTATACGTAAAACTTTTATTGTCCTTTCATTGTAGAGCTCATACAAGATTTTCCTTTATCTAAAAAAAACAAACAATAAAGCATTAGTTAGATGAATTCCTATATCTATTACTAGTGTTCGATTTGGTGCACATCTTAATGAATCCGGTTTTTGTATATTTGAGAGTAGTCAATATTTAAAATATATTAATTAATTTTTTACATAATATCCAATCATTCATTCAAAAACTTATGATCTCCTTCTGGCAATGCTGGTATAAGTAATTAGATCCTTAGTAAGTCATATTTTGAGAGTACCACAAATTGACAAAAAAAATAGAATGCACGCATCGTTAAATTGCCTTTTTTTATAGTGGACTATCTATAAAAATAAATTAGTATTTTTGATAAGAAAATTTTGCATAAATTGTCGATGAAATTCTACGTATGCAATCATAATCTGATGAAAATACTCCAATACATGATATAAAGTTCGATTTATTAAATAATGAAATCAAGTAAAACCAGGACTTCTTTTTTTTCTTACGTGTTTGTAAAACCTCTTAAGGGTACGACCCCCTTCCCCTTCCGCAATTTCTGGATAGCAGCTCATCAGAAAATTTTGAAAATTTCATGGCTGATAGATCTTGTAGAGTAGAGCAAATGTGCTAGACTTAAAGTTTCCAAATGCTGTCTTCTATGAGATATTGGGGTTACAATGAGTCAAAAAATAGCAAAATTTTCGCTCTCGTTTCTCCGAGATACTACGTTCGATCGAATTGAAAATATTTTTAAAGGTACACGACACCACTTGAAGTGAGTACTTTGTTGGGTTTCCTAATATTTTTCTCCTTTCAATAAAAAAGTCAAAATAGAGGACGTACCCGAAAAAGCTGTTGCTTTTTTCACGAGAAACATTTTTGTGAAAGATGCAAAAAATCACCAGAGCTAAAGTTTTAAAATAAAAGAAAATAATCATCCTAAGTAGTGACTAATATATGTGAAAAAAGTTTCAGCTCGATCCCTTGTACCATGCCGGAGAAACGGAAGCAAAGCAGTACTTTTCCTGTTAAAAATTTGATTTGACGAAAAAATGCGAAACAAAGTTAATTTTCAAATTTCTCTGGAACACTCCTCTTTTTTTCTATCTATTGATGGTTGAATAGGTTTTCGGCAGCTACGCATTCGATGAGCTAGGTTTTTACGTTCAAAAAAGTAAGTATCTTATATTTATCAAATGTCCGCAATCAGACACATACAAATAATATATAGTTCTTGTTGCCTATACCTCTCTTTTATCACTGACAGAAGAAAGGAAATAAATAAAATAGTCAACGAGAGAACTAACAACTTAGAGTAAATCATTCCGAAGATAATAACGTATCAACCAACGATTAGAAAACGCCTTGAATGAAAAACTGACGCTTACTATAAAAGATAAGTTCGAAGCCGAAGAGTTTCGATTTCGTCATATCGATCGTATCTCGAACTTGTTAGCGTCGGTGATGATGCACTTCGACGCTGAATGAAGATTAAGATGTTTCTTCTAGTCTAACTGGCTTCGGATATCTGCCCGGAAAACAGAAGGTGTGGGCTCGAGTCTCAGGAAGGGCATCTATTTCTTCGTTCTGTCACATAACATCAGTGACACTGCTTATCCCATCGCTCTATACATATGGCACCTAACAGAACTGAAGTTGAACGATGCCTCACGCTTCTCGGCATGTAACTCTGACATGATCATACGCTAAGAATGAGATAACTAGAAGTAGAATGCAAATACGAAATATTTAGAAAAAATAGTAGACATCGATTATTTTTAAGATAGGTGGATCTCGAAAATCGTGCTATTTTAGGTATAAAGGCTGTCAAAAGAAGTTTTTTGCAGATCGATAGAGGACACTTCAAAGTATGCATATGTATATCAGTGAAAAACAAAAAATGGGAAATAGAATTATTTTCATGTCCAGTAAAGGGGAATACCCTTGAAATTTTATGAATAATTTATTTGTCAAGAGCTTTCATTATAATTATCACATAGTTTCCTTAATAGAATTGTGTTAAAGTAATTGCGTATTAACAAGTAATGAAGAAAAGAACATCCATTATTAAAATGAAATCAGACAGCAGAGTAGTATAGAAAAAGGAAATGGCTCAACGTATTCATTTTATATCTAAATGGAGTAATTGAGGATAAAAACATTTCCACAAAAATTATGAACAAATAAAATACAATATGAATTCCTTCTTCATTAAGAGTAACACTTCAGATCTGATGAAACATTTAGTGTCTAGATGACTCAGATTCATAATTCTACATAACACCCTTCAAAAGAAAACGTATACGAAAATACTCTGTATAATGTTCTTAATTCTAATGTTTCTCGTCTATTTTATATCAAATAGGCTATAGGCACAGCAGACTTGAAGATACTCAATTAAAACTTGAATAAATCGACAACGGCATCTCCTATCGATCTGCAACTTTTAACATTAGAAAGAAAAAGTAATAATACTGTTGTACTGAAAGATTGTATCGACTTAGTAACTCATCAATGTTGCAAAAAAAATCTCATTATTGAATGAAATCATTTTTGATTTTTTTTTTATAGATAGATGACCTTCTTTCAATAATAAACAACGTCCGCATAGAAATCTTTTGATAGTTAAGAATCGACCAATATGGAAAGCTTGGGAAATCGTTCAATGAAAGATTTTCATACTAATGTATATACACCCCTGGGCAAAGGTCTTTCTTCCCCTCGAATCACAACCGCCATAAGGATCAGAGGTCTGAAAATTTGTGTGTACACTCCACCAGGAATGTAGGCCAGTGACAGTACTTCAACTCTGATTACTTGAGAGGAAACGAAGTTATGATAAATAGTATCTATTTTTGCTTTAAGCTTCATAACTCTTGAAAGAGAAAACATTGTAGATCGGCAGACCCATCATTATGTAGCGCTATGTTCCAACTATCTGCCATACAAGTTTCGTAATAGTTCGTCAACTCGTGCAAGAATTGTAGTCATTTTACTGTAACCATCGGTGTGCAAGAAAAGCCATCTATTGTCTTTTGAAGACCAATAACTCATCGATACTTCAATGAATCGACCCGAAACTTTCAGAGAAGCTTTCTACATAGTTTGGCACTGCTGCCTGCATGTTTCACAATCGAATGTTATACTAGAGAGAAATGACACATTGATGATCATCGTGTTAGTGTCCAGGATCCGGAGACACCAATATTCGAGCCAATGAACTTATCTTTTAGATGAGGAAAGACCATGTACTGGGCTTTCGTTTTATGTAGAAATATTTAGAATTAATAATGTACTTGATAAGAAACAGGGCAAACTTTAGTAGGCATTCCTGTTAGGTTATGAAGCTCATAGCAAAAAAATAGATACCATTCATC